TGTAAGTACATTTTTTCCTTCTTTAAATTAAGTAAAGTCCAAAATTTTTCGAATGGAAAAATAAGCTTTCCTCAGAGAGAAAATTAATGGAACATGCCTAAGCATAATTTTTGAAAGTCTTTTTTTTTTCAGATTAAACTCATTAACCTTTTCATGTGTATAGTCAAAACATTTCCATTAAATATTTATAACGGATTCGGCGTTATATACTTGAATCGAATGCTCTTCCTTCTTCACTTTTTTTTTGTAATATCTAATATTAAGATATTTTCAAACAATCTTTTACTTATAATTTGTAATTACTTTTTTGCCACTTTTCTTCTTTTGAAAAAAAAGGTTTAACAAATGCTACAAGCGTTGAGCATTGATACAATTTTTGATTAGTAGCGAGTGAGTGAATAAGTAAGTAGTTTCAGCGAGTTTTGTACTTACCGAATCAAGTATTTTGGTCAGGCAATTTAAAGTTGTACAGAAAAATTAAATTTAAAAAAGTGGAAAAGTTCTGAAAAAGATAAAATGACCGAAGGGAGATTAAAAATATTTATTTACTCCATATGAGATCTGAAAACAACATTTAAATAATAAGTCGCAAAATGATAAATGATAAGTTACAAAAGTTTTAGGATATTTTTCTTTTTTTTATAAATACAAAGGTAAGCAGAAAAGGCTTTATCACATGTTAATTAATTTTACGCGAACTGGACAATTTGAGCACTGAGAAGTTGGACTAAGTGTGGATTGAAAAGAAAGGTCTGATAATTGACATTCAGACGATACATATTTGAATTGAAATTGATTTTTACAGCTAATCATCTTCCAAGATTGTACTGTCTGTTGTACGTGACATTCAGAACTCAACGATTAAAATTAATCGAGCCAAGGATGTTTTCTTTTTTTGATGAAATCCTTAAATCTATGAGCTCGAAATTTCGAATAAATTGCAAAATGGCATATTTTAGAACATACGTTATCAGTTGTTTGAATCCAAATCCCCAACTTGTGCAATGCAATTAAAGCATTTTATATTAAAATAGACACAGATAATGAAAGTGCAAACTTCTTAGACTTAATTTTGAGTGATTCATCAATCCGGTAAAGAATCGGTAAAAGAAAAAATTGCCTAAAACAGATTTTTTTTCAACGCTTTCTTTCCTGTCACTGTGTATAACTTGTAAAACTTTTCCATTTATTTTTGCAAGTTGTACTAAGTAATATTATTCTAACTTATATAACTTGGAAATTGCACTTTTAAAAGTTGGAGCTAATCCTTGTCGCAAATAAATTGATTTCTGAGAATAAAAAATGGCCTCTTTATTTTTTTAAGTCAAATCTCTGCAATTCCGAGAAAACAACTAGATGATAGTCTTGCTTAGCAAATTTTAAAAGCACATAAGAGATATTTAATTACAACAGTAATGACTTTGTCATCACGTTGCCTCTAATTAAAATATTCATTAAATCACAATTCAGCACTTCTGAATTCAGTAATTAATACAATTATCATATTTTCATGGGTATGTGACATATATTTCTTGTTAAATTTTTTTATTTAAAAAAATTAACATGACAATTTTAGTTTGGGTAGAATTCATTTAAATCATTCCTCATAATAAGGCTTAATTTTTGTAGTGTTTATTAACCTTCATTTTCTCTTTGGTTGATAGAGTAATAATAGATAGCATAAGCGTTAATGTAAAAACCATAAATCCATTTTACTAGTAAGACTTCCGGTTTTATGAATCGTCAGTTATTGCAAAAATCTGGCCTATTAGATCGATAGCTTATAGTAAATTCTATTAAGTTGTTTGAAAAAATCAGTCTAGAAAAAATAAAATTCGTCAAAAACAATCATATAATATTTCACCAATTTCTTTTAGACAAGTTTCTTGTTAATGTCTGAAAGGATGAAACCCAATCAAACTCTGCTGTGATAATAACAATAAGCCATATAAAGTCAAAAACTTGACTATTTGTGTAGTGACTATTTGTTAAGAAATTCAGATATTCTTTGTTGATTAAATTTATATTAGTTATCAAATCAAATGTTTATTACAGTAAAGTAGTGTACATAATAATTAGATGACTGTGAGTTGATAATTTCTTTTTCAGTTTTGCTATTTATAAACCAAATTTGTTATAAGTTTATCCTAGGATATTCTAGGAGTTACTACGTATAGCTGCTGATAACAAAGATACTTCATAGAATCCTTCCATCAGCACAGTAGATAAGTTGTAGAATGTTGAAGATATCTTTAAACTTTTCTTCTTGGAAAATTAAGACTGCCAGCACAAATGAGCACTATAAAATAATTTACTCATATTGTGGAAATTTATATGAATTCTAAAGCAACTTAATACTAATTTTCAGCACCTATCCGAAATTAGCACACAAATCCGGGTACATTATCCGAGAATATTTCAATATTCATTACTTGATCAGAAAATTTTCTTACACAACAATAAATTCAAAATTCAATTAAATTAATGCATCCACTATTGATAATGGTTTATTATCATAGATTACTAAAAAGTAAATGAAAGGCAACAAAGTGAACATAGAGAAATTAAACATTGGAAATAATTGGAACGAGTATTTCAGAAAGCATCAATAGAATATTTAGGAAGTATCCTGTTTCTACTTATTTCGAATAAAACACTTTTATGGATCAAAACATTAAATTCAGTACCAATTCAATTTGTCTTAGAAAGTAATTGAAAACTTGCACTGAATTCCTCTTTAAATACTAAAAATATAGAATTATATGATATAAGTGAAGAAAAAAATCAATAAATCATAAGAAACTGAAGAAAGACCATACGATCAACAGAAACTGGATATTGAACTATACTGCAAGCGATCAATGGGCTTTATTTTTTCAACGTTTAATCCGATACGTATTTTCCCAGTCTATAAGTCAATAACCACACAAAAATCAGTTTTATTATGCAAACTTCTGTTCCTATTTCTTTAGTATTTGAAAACGAATACAAAAAAAAAAATACAAGCCTAGATTTTGTATATATGTAGCCAATAGAAAGAACAGAAAGGTTTTGAACTGAATAAACAATATTAATATTGTTTATTCAGTTCAATTAGAAAGAACACAATAATAATAACTCTTACTAAGCAACAATAAGAATTGACTAAAAAACTACATTCTTTACTTAAATATATTGTGATATGTAAAAGTAATACTTCTCTTTACATATCATAATAATATTTATATAAAGAATATATTTCTTAATCAATTATTATTTTGCTTACTTTCATTATACATGAAATGTATGGTGATATGTAGAAAGAAGACATGTAAACAAGATTTTTTAAAATGACATTTCAAAAAATATCACAAAAATTTAGGAGAGTAGAACTATCTAAAGGAAAATTTCTTCGACATCGGTGAATTGACATGAAAGATAACCAAAATGGAGCAAACAAGAATGAAAGAAAACTATGATTAAAACAATTGCATAAACAAGTTATAACGATCATATAATCAGTTCTTACATACAGTGTTAATAACGATTAGACCATAGGAATTTGATTGGAAAGTGAATAAGACACACTCAATGCTTTGAACATATTAGTATCATTCAAACATGCACCTTAAGCAAATTATAACAAGCAAATATATGATAGCCACAACGCGAACAAATCCATCGCATTCATAGTTACAGGTAAAAAGATCAACAGACTGTAAAGGGAAGTTTACTCTTTCATGCGTTATACAATAACTTCGATAAAGGACTTAATGATTAATGATACTAACTTGCAAGTTGACTGACCTGATTTGTTAAAGCTAGCATCCAGATTACTACTCAATTTGTTAATGAATTAATTTTTAGGGTAACGGATCAGAATTTTTGATTTCAATGCATAAGTGAATTTAATCAGTTATGTAAATTCAGAACATTTAGTCGGAAGCAGTTCTTCAATATACAATGACTATCCAATCCTGCGGCAGTGACTGCATCGTTTGTGAACTGTGCATGGAATGAAACATAGAAATAGTAAACCAACCGGAAATGTACATACTGCTAGCAACACCAGACAGATTAAACAAAACAGGTCCGTTTGTCCAGACAGAATTCCAATCTGAAAAATAACAGTCAAAAAAATGAATTAAAATCTAGTACGTATATTTTTACGAATATCAAGTTTAATTATTTGAAAAAATAAAAATAAGGTTTCTGATAAGCAGGTCAACCAAGAGAGCAAAACCTATTCCGGAGAAAAAAGTACGATGAAAACTCGCAGTGAAGATTAAATGGAAAAAGAAAATTAATATTAAATAATAACATCTTCTAGTCAGTAATGAAATATAGTGGATGTCCCATTGAATAAACAACACGGACAAGTCAGGTTATGATGACTAGAGTAAAAAAAAAGAAATCTAAGAAAAAAAATTGAACTCACTCCACAGTAGGTGCAATGTCCTGCACGTGGTGCTTGGATCTCACGTGGTACTACAACTGGAGGAGGTTGTGATGACGCTGAAGCTAAAACATTAATTGAAACATTAATTACAAAAATATGATCAAGTTAAGATGGATCTCATAAAATAAAGTCTTTTAGATATTGCAGTGAAACCGAAGTCTGTTTTACTCATTTAATGACCTTTTTACGCATGCATACATAATGGCCCACCGAACATACACAATAATCACTACGTAAAAAAAAAATGAAAATCTTCCAAATTGTTAAAATATGATTTTTATTTGAAAATATGCTCATATGGGTGATATAGGTCATATGGCTCACTTTATTAAATGTAATCTGCTTCTTGTACATAACTTATGTGCAAAAAGGAAAAATGAGGACTCAGAGACTAGAACTTAGTGGGGATGAAATGAATTTCGGTCTTGATCTAGTCAAAATGTGCATATCTGAGGGATACCTAAGAGAATAAATACAAATTGAAAATAAACAAACGTAGTGAAGGAGGTGATGCTGGTGGAAACATGTGGTTTGGAACTGACAGCAGAGGATATGGAGGAAGAGCACTATAAGGTTTCGGAAACGTTGTATCATTTGAATTAGTCGAATATGGTCCAGAAGCAGCTGGATATGCCATTGCTGCTTGATATGATGGAGGAGGTTCTCTGCAAAAAACTTTTTCAAAGATGCTCCAGTTGTTTTGTAGATAATCTTTACTGTCTAATCTTAACCATTTAGAGAGTTAATATAAGGTGGTGAAAATGCAACGTTTTCAGTTGCAACAACATTCGCAACTAATCTTGATTGAGCTGTTCTATAAAATCAAGTAAGTTAATTTGAAGTATTTCCACTCATATCAACAAGCCTCACCAACAACTAAGAAACGAATAATACGAATTCATTTCGCTAAAATGATTCAAAATTTTCTTTCTAATAAAAAAGTAATTTTCCGAATCATTTTATGAGTTCAACATGAAAAATGCATCGTAAAGTAGAATAAACCTGTACGGTGGTAATCCCATACCACACCCAACTGAAGGATGCGGCTCAAGAAGTACAGGTTGCACAGATGGCTGTTGACATACTGCCGAAGAAGTATTTTGAGCAGTTACATTTGACGAAGGATTTCCTTCTAGTGGTGCTGACGGTATGCCGTTACCCGACTGTTCTTTTCCCGACATGTTGTGGACTTTTTTAGTAATACAGCAATAACTGAAAATAGTACAGACCCTTAGGGCCTAATTACTTGTAAAAATTAATCTTAAATCGAAATGAAATAATCAGTAGTACGCTGAATAAGCATGAAATTTAACTAATCTACCTAACTCATAATATGTACTGAGATATTCATCTCCTTGTTAATTGTTGCTGCTAAAAATGAAATTGTATCTAAAATCAACCTGAGAAATATTGTAATACCCAAAGCAATAATTACTCGAAGTTCATGTCTTAATATTCGTTTTTCAATGAAATTTTAAAGAAAAAATTTCCACCAATGAAATTAACAAAATAAGTGTAAATTGGTTTTAACGGAAATCTCAGTAAACGTGCGAAGTTAATCATTAGAATCATACATCTAGCCTCTAATAATGACATTCTACTATATTTTGCAGCAAATGATAAATCCATTACACTAATATCATGAGAGATCAATGTTTCAAAAAATTAACTTCAGGTAAATAAAAAGAAAAAAAGATGAAAATTTCTACAGGAACGTTTCCCTACAGCTACTCATTGTTCACTTTCGTAGTTTTGCGAAACAAAATCTTGGAATTTTCGATTTTTTTGTTTGAATTTCACTAAAATATTGAAAAGAAAAAGTTGTCAAGGTAGAACGCACCACAGGGAATAGTAACTTACCAAGTTATTATTTAAAAAAATGAGTAAGTCAAGCCACTCAGTTTTCGATTTATAATACTAATAATGACTTTTTAATTATATATCAAAAATGAAGAATATAAACAGGACAGTAGCAAAAACATATAAAACGTTTCTTTTTTAATCTCTAGGTATCAAAAAACCAAAGCTAGAAAATAATTAGAACTAGAAGACGGTAATTAAGTACCAATTAAGTAATGGCAGTCAAAAATGTACTAAATATTCAACAATGAAGATATGAACTTTCATTTTAAAAGAATTACTCTTTCACAACAAAATTTAACAACAAGTTTGCAGAACAAATCGAAAGGTTAGCAAATAAAAAAGTAAAAAACAACTTTCTAAAAAAATGACGCAAAACAAGATTCCTTCGAAGACGCTGCCTCGCTAAACTTCACAGGGAAAAAGTACATTCAAGACAATACTCGTTTAATGGATAATCTACCAGTTTATCTTCATAATATTCTAGAACTATAAAGAAAAGCTAAATTATAGAATAAATTTATTTACGAAAATGCTAAAGAGAAATGAGCAATTATCTCCTTTTCCCTAAAATATGCCAACACATCTAAACATTTGCTATGATCGCTGAAAAACGAACCAAACGAAAAGCACATGACACATACCGATCTTTGATATTTTAAACAGAGCTATGTGTTTTCATTTTTTTATAGACAACTACCTGTGAACTTAAAAAGTACTATCCCCGACATAATAAAAACAAACAAATACAATCGACAAACATTAACTTCTTATCAAAACCAACCAAGCAAATATGCGTGCCATAATCAATTGTTTCTAATCAAACTATAAAATCCATATGATAGATAACAATGAAGAGCAAACACCCCGCTAGAAATAAACCGTAAAATTTTTGGAAAAAAATTACAAAGAATCACATTCGATATGAGAAATGTGCAAAAGAACAACACAGATTCCTTTGCTGAAAACTCCTCTAATGAACTCCACCTCGGTTGTGACACCCCCTCAGGCTATTGCCAGTATTTAATACACGTCATGAATGCAATAAAGTATCACTACAGTTTGGCATGGAAACTGCGAAGTAATTAACAAAAATATTGAACAGCAAGTAAAAAATGCTAGCTCATTAACTTTCAAGTCCTATCTTGACTTTGCAATTCGAGTAGACAGTCAAAACTTCGCTTTAGAAAAGTCTGTAGGACTTACAGGGACAGTATATTTGCATTGTTAATGATAGTAACAACAATAATAAAAATAATTAACAATAATAATAATGTTGTTATTATTATGATAACGGCACTATGGCAATAAGTGACAATGTAATAATATGATAATTTGATAATAACAGTATCAATAACATCGTAATAATTTTCCTCGTAGTTTCTTTCCTTTTTTTTGTCCTTTCTTCTCTTATTGTCTAGCACTTTTTCCCTTCTAATATTATTGAAAAATCCTAAGCTCACTTCTATGATCTGCGCCAGAGCTCAAATAACAAGAATTGAAACCTCATTACCAGAATATAAAATGAATCAAGTAAACAACAAGCTCTGTAGCAAAAATAATGATTAAATTACTCGCTTTTATAAAAAATTATGAAAAACAAAAGCAAAAATCAACTAAGAAAGCAAAGAAGTGAAGTAAAGAAAACTGTCGACAATCATAATGCACACAATAAACAAATCATCCAACCAATCGGCGTAGAACCAACCGTTTCGCACAACATTATGCCCAATAAACACACATCGTGCTAATCAAAGAGAGAGACGATGAGCTGTAATGAAAAAGTTTTTTTCAGAAATGCATTTCTCATCGAATTAAATGCATTCCCATACAGTCAGTCAAATAAAGCTTCAAAATACTCAAAAAAAATATCTTGAAACTCAAGCTATCTGTTCTTCAAAGAATTTAAATATTTTTTGATAGTTTTACTAATACCGATATCAACACATTTGTGTTCACGCTACAAATAAATAAGAGTTGCAATTTTTTAAAGTAAATTTGCAGAGAACGTTCTTAAAAAACTAACACATCATTGGTATGTGCAAAGCAACTTCATCCGGCACTGACACGGAGTGCATTCGATCTCGATATTTGTAAACGATTCGTAGCATTTTCGATTCTGTTGGACAAGGATCATAAAACCCCGGTAACTGACTCTGCAAACACAAAACGATATTCATAAAAATGAAAACAACGGAAGAAGATAAAGCAACATATACTTCCAATGACCGCTCATTTCCTATTAATTTTATTTGTAATCACTATGATTATACAATTAAAGTTCTAAGTTCTTATTAAAGTTCCTTAAGTTGATCCCTTTAGCAGCACCGTGAATCACATCATCAAAAACCAAATTGTTCATAGCACGGTTTGAACCTGACTACACTAACTGTTATCAGTTCAAAACTTCTTTCAGCGCTTTTCACGTACTTATATTATATAGCATAATCTGAATTAATTTCCAAATTTTCTTCTAAGATTTTTTTGTTAAAAGGACTGCATAGTTTCATCAGTCACTGAAAATGAGTACAACTTTGCTATTTCAATTCTCGAACACTTAAAGGGCTATGAATCGCCGTAACAATATTATTTTTAAGTATCAAATAGGAACATTCTATAGATATAAAGAACTATCATATAAAAAAATTATGTTGCTAAAACTGAATAAGGAGATTGCTTACTTTTCCGGAGTATATCCTCAACTGTGAATCATTAACCATAGCCTGTAATGGTATTGTTACATCGACAATCCGATCGCCTAATAGCGGATATGATAATGCATTATGGCCTTCTCCAACCATTTGACCATATTTCGCTTCAACAATGATTAAACCATGCTTCTGTTCTTCTTCTTTCGCTATTCGTTCTGCTGTACGTCTCATCAGATCTACGACATTGCTTGCTTCTTCACGTTTGATAGCATCTACCTAAATGCCGGACTTCTGAATTCTTTGAAAAACAAATGATCACATAACGCGGACAAATACCTCATTTATTAGTATTTCTATAAGTATTATTCCAACTTTTTGTCCTCTGTTAATTGATACTTGATACCTGCCGCTCCTCTGAGTGATCCTCAAACAATGACATGAAACGTTCGTACACGTGTCGAAAAACTCCTTTCAGTAAGTAAAACGCTGCAATCGGTGCAATAACGCCATATAAAGTTGAACGTGCTAAATCTTCTTCACTGTCGCATAAGAGAAACTGATAATCGTAAACTGAAGCACCCGTTTTCAACCTTAAATAATTTGTATGAGTGGAAAATAAAGCAGCATCTGAAAAGCGTATTCTAAAATAGTGAACATATTTATCTAATATTAAAGAGTACTCACCTAAATTTAGCTTGCAAAAGACAAGAAGGGAAAGCAAATGACAGATTACATCCTATTCGAGAATATCTTGATAAACGTCTTTCAAATGCAACTGCTGGCATAATACCCATTAATGAAAATATGCATGAGGTTTCAGTAAACGAGTCCTGTTCTACACTCCGCTTCGTATAGACTATTCGAACATTTGAGTTTGCTGGTGATATCTAGATTTATCATTGTTATAAGCAATACAAACCAAAAATTTCTATTATCTTAGTTATCCCTCTACTTTTTTATTCCAAGGATAACTTTGAAACAGATCAAGCAATAAAATAAAAAAAGACCTAAAAAACTAACTGTCAAATTAATAAAGAACTTCGGCATATTCAATTCGGTATGGATCAGAGATGTTGTTAAGTAGGATTGCAATCCACAGTGATATATTACAGAGCCTTGCCAGCATGGGTGCAGATTCCTAGACAAAACTGAAAAATGACAGATTCCAACAACTGATTAGTAATGAAAGTCATAAAATGCTAGAAATTAATTTTTCGCAAACTTACTAAAAGTGCAGCCGGGGTTGATAGCTGAATAAAGTGGAAAATACTGCACTGAAGGCTGTATCACAATTGCATTTTTCAAGTATATACTTTTGGCGTATTTGCACCCCAGCAATATCGAATCTGGTGCAAAAGTTGTACTGAACTGAAAATGATTTCTGTTTCAAATATTTATTTTGTATCATCTTCACCTTATACTTCACAGAGCAAACTAACAGATACCTCAAGCAGACATGATGATGAGATCACTCTTTTCCAATGCAACATAAACGCTCCATCACCTTTACCATTATTCATCTTAACACGTCCATTTAAACCCACTTTATCTTTTGCTGTCATAGCACATTCGACATTCTGGGACAAAGACATACCAGTTACTTGCGGAGGACATCTAAAATAATACTTCTAATTGTTTTCAAAAGTTGTATTTCTGCACACATTTCCATTACATCGCATTAATTAAAATTTTAGTTGAATATAAGCATATGAGAACAGTTTTGGGGACAAAATTTTCATATAATTTATCCTGCACTTAATTTCAAATTCATTTTTCTCGAAAACAAAAAACAAATTGTTCAATTATAAGAAAAAATTAATTGAGGAAATTAACTGTAAAGAAAGAACCTTAGTTCAGGATTAGCAGCAAAAACTCCCGTTAAGGATGTTTTGCAGACAAATAAGCTCTGAAAACAATAAATTATGAGCCATATTATAAGGAATGTTATTGAATCCAACAATAATGTAGCGAAATTTCTTCGCACATTCACAACGGCCGTTAACATTACAAGAAAGAAAAAAAGAATGTCTCATTAAACGATTAATAAACTTGAGATAAATAGACTTACGGAAGGATGAACCCGTTGTAGCATTATTTCTGTTTCTCGTAAACGTTTAAGAAACTCATATTCGCGTCTAATGTTCTCGGCATTGTCTGATTTAGGAATGAGTTCCCAACCATGCAATTCAAGTCCTTGCTGTCCAACCGTATCATAAATTGTTCTCAGTTTGGGATCGGAAAGCGCTACATATAAACAAAGCAAGTAAATTGATTAATTATTTACCTATATTAATTTTTCCAGCTCAAAAACTGTTTGGACGATACCATCACAAATTTAAGTGGAAAAAGAACTTACTTTCGTATGCTTTCCGTAATTTCAAGAAAAAATTCTCTGCTTCCTTTTTTTCAGCAAGATCAGGATGTCGGTCTGGATGGAATATCAAACACTTCTGTCGATACGATTTATTAATTTCATCCACTGTTGCCTGCGATTAATAATTTTTTCATTTATGTTAATGAATGAATTAGATATAACACAAGTTTAGTCCACTAAGTCTCACAATTTTATGAATACGGTGTCGAAAATTTATTTACACTGAGTTCAAGTCTGCTGTAGTTCAACATAGCACTGAATGGTATATATCGTTCATCATTACAGCTTAACATAATCGAAATAAAAAGACTGGCTTAAAACTGAAATAGATTTTTATCTTTGTGAATGTAAATCATCCGAAGGAACTCACATCTTTTGCTACATTTAAAATTGCATAAAAATCGAGATCTTCGTCATCCTGATTGCCTGCTCCTTCCTCATCTCCATAAGTTGAACTCAGTGAAGAAGCACATGACATGGCTATCTGTGTTTTTTCGATTTATAATTATATCCAATTTAACCTGAAATACTCTACTTTTTTTGCAGTACAACGTCATAGGTCACTATCTATAGAAACAGAAACACAATTAAAGGAATGACTCGATGGGACAACGACAGCCCTATGTGCCTGATATAAGACAAAAGAAAAAGTAGCCTGAGGGACATTTCACAATATACTCTTTAGAAGCCATTCTAACTCACAATTTCTTTTCTTCAAAAAATGGACATCTCTTGACCTAATTCTACTAAACTTTACACGATTAAAAAAACCAGCAATGAATACCCACTTTGCCCCATCCTATTCGAACTAATTTCAGTCCTTAAATTTAATTTTATAAGACTCCAGACGTTGGCCCAAACACCGTCCACTCACGATTTACCGAAGATGGTCACAGTGGTACGCCGCGATGGTTTGCTTATTATGCAAACACGTGCAGCTTACGTGTGGGTCAGACGTTGTTCATACGTACTGTAGTGAGTGCTTTTCATGATTTAGTTGTTCTGAGAGGTGCGACATGGGAGCACGACAGAAGTACGTTTACTTCTCCAATCAACTATGTAAAGAACTGTTCGAGAGAGATGCATTCATGACTTTATGAGAATGTCATTTGGATGAATTAGACATTGCTATTAGCTCGATGGCTAAGAATTTCTTCATTTACGCGAGCATAATTACTGCCGAATCGTGTTACTAATGTTTTCTGCGATCTTTTTCAATCAGTAATGTTGCGGAATGTTTCTTCTACGGATAAATGAGCTTTTTCAGCTTTTTCGGCCATATCGAAATCGAAATTAAACATTGCATCTTAGACAAAGTTATCTTAAAAACAACAGTGCATGAATGCTAATTAAGTGGAAATTCCTATTTTCATTGAAATAATCATTGCATGCTAATTAAGTGGAAATTCCTATTTTCATTGAAATAATGATTGCATAATCACACTTAACTTCTTACAGTTTGAAATAAATTTCAATCCAAAAAAGAATTTTTATAGTTCACATCAAAGCATGAATAAAAACTACCATTTGGAACCAATAAATTTTGATAATTCTTTGATAATTCGCGTTATTCCTTCATTGTGTGTTTCATAGTTGTACAATTGGTAAAATGATTGTTAAATTAAAATTTTGTGTACAAACTAAGAATTTTTTGCAGAGAATGCTCTCTTAATACGAAGAATAAGAACTGTATTACTAATAATAATTACACTTATACATTTGGACAGGAATAATATTGCAGTTTGATTAGAAATTATTGGGGGTAAGAAAGATTTGATTATTAATTGTAATATGTTGATACAAAAAATAGAATTTAAAATTTAACAAATTGAATTTCAGTATTTCAATGATAAATTTCTTAAATAGCGTTGCATTTGTGTTTCCTTTTATTTTTATTCTCATTCCGAAATTCATTACAAATTCCAGACCTCAGTTTCAAATTTTGATAGCTAAATTTGATCAACAGTTTAAAAAAAATCGTTAATGCCAGTGTGAAATATACGCAAGCCACCATTACTCTTTGGTAGCATCCTTTCCTTTTCTACCGGCATTTCCGTTCCCTTGTCCCCAAACTCAATCACCTCTTCAATTTTCTCATGCGTCTGCGAATTTCCTTCTCTTAAAATATTGTACCATGTATTTTGGTTAAATGATTTCGAAATGATTACTTCAGAAATATTTGTAAAATGCTGGGATTAACTTTCTACAGCACACGCATCAATTGTGTTTAGGTCTTCGAAGCTTCAATGATTCAAAATGATCATTCAGTTTGATTCCAGATTTCGATTCCGAAAAAGGCAAGTAAGAGTAAAGACATTTAAGTTTCCATATCATTAGTACTTTTTGCAGCAATGGTCTACTTGCTAACATATTCAATCTTCAAATAATTTTTGAAGGTCTATAAATACTTTCAAAAAAACATTAATGTTTTTTTTAAATTAAAATCGCTGTTATATTTTTAAAAATTTGATGCTCACTAGAAAGCTTCGGTATTCAGGATTTCAGGTAACTTCGAAACAGTATTGACGGATCCGTCAATTTTTTCACGAAGAAATCAAGAAAAATAAAAACACTCAGATTTGAAGTCTTGATATACTTCTGTGAGTAATTGATAACATATCATAATGATATATACAATATTTTATATTCTAGTATAAAATGTTAGAATACAGTTCGGTAAATGAATAGTTTTAATTGAAAGGAATCAGAATAGCAGTTGTGAGATGTTGGATTTAGACAGCTACTAAAGGAAAAAAGGTGAACAGAACAAAACTTTAGCGGTTGTTATTTTATGTATGCATGAGAGTTTATTATAGTCTCTTTAGAATTTATTCAATTTTTTATCTGCTAATTTCACTGCCCATTGCATAATACACAAGCTATTCTGAATATTTCATCTATCGAAAAAATGATGATGTTGACTGCAACATCGATTCATTACTTTTTACCGGTGACTGAGGTTGAGAGAGCTCTCTGCCAACATTTGTTTTCCTCTGTTCAGTATCAGCGATTCGTTTTTGACGAAATTTCTCAGTAACTCGAATCTGCAAATTATATTATTCATATCTGAAACAATTTTTGTTATTTATAGTTGGATGAATAGCATTTGATGAACCTGTTTGATGGTAATATTCATCGAAGTTGAAATTTCAAGGGAAGCGCCCATATTAATGTCGCTGTTTGATGATCCCTTATATCCGGGAGCTGAAAACAAAGTCATCATGCAACCATCCGAAAATAATGCATATCCATGAAGTGGTGCCTGAAAATTATGATCAAATTTTAAAAATCTATTGAGTCATTTTGCACTGCCATAAAAGCGATATAATCTTAAAACTTCCCATCCAAAACATTTAAAGGAGAAAAATTCTCTCATGAAAGTCATTTACATAACACAGCTGTCAAGATTTTTTTTGTGCTGATTGGAGTTAATTTTCAAAAAAGACGAAACATTCTTCATATAAATTTTATCCTACAAAATGTATTTCCAAATGTTTCCCAAAAAAATAAAAAATCTTATTGGCATGAAAAAAGATTAAAGAGCAAAAAGATAACTAAGAATCCTTTACTTTAACTAATTTTTTTCGTCGTCTAATTGTAGTTTTGTGATATATTGTCACTTCCAGCATCTGTTAGTAATCATCTCAATTTACGTTTAATTTCTTGTTTTTTTTTTGGTATTGTACTTCTAAGATTAAAATTTCTTGAATTTAACCAACAAAAACAAATCTCTATTTCGAAAATTAAAAAAACTAAGCCTGATGTCCACGGATCAGCATATCAATACCCAGCTTCTTGCAAAGATTTTGTATTGTATCGGAAGCAAATAATTGTCCAATGCCATAGAGTGGTTCACGTTCAAAATTACTTCGGAAACCAGTATGATCTGGTGATGTATCCGGATCCGACCACACCAAATCACACTGCAGTGATCCAACCTCGAATTCCTCCAAAGGCCGTCGAATTTCTCGGATTGCCTAAACTTACCAACTTTCTCGTATTTTTTACATCATATTTAAATTATAATAGTCAAGAAATGAACAAGCAAGAATGAACTTAAATGAATTGAATTAATGAATTTAGCCAGGCCTAATCTTTCTTTTTTAAATTTTCAAAATGAAACATTTGTTTTTTCTAGTTAAATTCAAGAAATTTTGATCTCAGAAGCATAATAACGAAAAAATGAACGAACAAGAATGAATTTAGATGAATATCTGTTAGATGAATTAACAGACCTGAAGTGAAGTAAGTTTTGGACCAATGCCACCATGCATCCCAAGAATGCGACCTCCAATAAGTACAGCCAATGGTAAATTATTGAATAAAATTCGAAAGTAAGGATATAACGCTCGACCATCTCTACCATCTGAAATGATAATTATTGAATGTTTTTATCCAATTACATTTTAACACTTATATTGGGGTCAGAATGTACTTACTACCTCTCGATTCTAAATTTACCGAGATTTTCAGAAAATCTGACGCAAACTTCTTCATAGAATGAATATGCACGATTCAGCGACTCTTCCTCATGATTACCACGACACAAAAAAATATTTTTCGGGAAACGAACCTTAAAAGAAAAATAATTGAGATAAATAATTGAATTTTAAATAATCAAGACTGGTTTAGAAACTGTGTCAGAAAACTTACTTTAAGTGCAGTAAGTAATGCAACCACTTCGATGCCATGCGAGCCGCGATCAACGAAATCACCTAAAAACACGCTACGTACTTGACTTGGCCATCCATTTAAGTTAAACCATCGATGTAAATCACTATATTGACCATGTATGTCACCATAAACCACGCAGGGTAATGGGACCTGAAATTTATTTCGTTCAATATCATTTTCATTGTTGTCTAAACAATCAAATTTGATCGATACCTCCAATAATGTTGGCTCTTCAAGAAACACTTGTGCTCCTTGGAGAAGAATTTCTCTGATTTCTTCAAATTTGAACGAAAATTGTTTTGGACCATTTCTAATCAACTTCATCAATAAATCATCATCAAGTTCTTCCGAAACTGAACATTTCAAAAATGGAAGTATTGTCACTATGGAAATTATAAAACCACCTCACAATACCTATTAAATTATCTAATTCTCGTCTTTAACATATTGTAAGGCTTTATTGATTTTTTATATTTGTTTCATTAAATCTATACTAAATTTGTCCCATTTGATAACAGGTTACAATCATTACAATCATTGTTCTTTTCATGTCGAGAAAAGTTAGCCTTATGTTGTATGTGGAAAATATGCAATAATCTGGATAGCAAATTATATAAGAAAAAATGGGAATATATTCTTATCATTCTTATATCATAAATATGAATTAATTTTCTATCAATGAATAAATCAAAAAATGTTATGAAAGACTTGCAAGCGTTATCATCTTTTGCAGAACGATCAGCATTAGTTATATCATCGGATGTTGCATAAGTTATCACACGTGTGATTTTTGGTGGCTTTTTTCCTTTCAATACTGCTTTCAGTCGACCACTTTGTTTCATTGTACTTAAGGAAGCTTTTTGTTTTAAAACTTCAAGGATTAATTAGAAATACAAAAGTGAAAGGGAGATATAAAATCATGATATTTTATCGACTTCAAATTTGTTATGCTTCAAGCTAAATTAAACTCAGCTTCTTATGAAATACTAATAAATAACAACTTTGGAACATGCCTGATCTGTTTTTAAACTATCATAGGAAGAGTGGAATGAGTTTATATGCTTTTAATTCGAGTTATCGAATTTAAATTTATATACCTTTGGAATTCATATGGAAATTGAAAATAAAGTTAAAATGAGTCTGGAAAGTTCTAGTAATATAAAAATGAGGTGAAATCATTTGCACTAGAATATTAATTTGATTGATTTGAAAAAAAGATTTGCGAGTAAAAACATTGACAGTCATAAATTTAGCAAGCAGAGAAAGATATCTTGCAATCATGTTGCAATTAAATCATATATGTGCATACTGTAGCAGGGTATTTTGTTCCAGAAGTGTAAGTTGTGCCGGGACGATAGTATCTGTACGATCTGTATGGACCACATTGGTGGATGATTTCCGTCCTGGCGTACAGATCATTCCTGGGAGTTCCTCATTATTATCACTATCATCAGCAAATATTTGCATACTAGCCAACTCTCCAACGTTCGCATTCAAACTACAATATGAATAAATAATTTTTTTTAAATAATTTTTTGAAAAAATGTTAAAAACTGAAAAATTTACATTTGAAAAATCTAAAAATTTTTAAGAATAAGAAAAGTCATGAATTCATGCAATTTCATTAATAGTATCATCTATCATTGTTATGGTTGATAAGATAATCAGTGAAAAAGAAGTGGAAACGTGGAATGCACTTTTCGCTAAATTTTTTCACAGCTGTTTTTCTCTCTGTTTTGAAAGATAAACTTATCCTTACACAGCCTTGCGCTTCCGTTGTCTTCTACTGATAAAAACAGCAGCAGCACCAACAAGACAGGCAATGACCACAGCCGCACATACCACCCCGCTGATAACAGCCCAGGAAGTCTTATTCACTTTATTAGCCACCAATGGGTCATCCATCACTTCCGGTAAATTGATACCTAGAGCTGCTCTTTTCATTTCTGTAAAATGGTCCAGTAAAGATCTAATGTCATGAATAATAAATTATGTATTTTATAACATCCAGGATGGCCCTGATAACATTTAAACAAAATTAATTTGAAATTTTAAATTTATTCATTTTTTCAAATTTGGCTTCATTCCCTTTTGTTTTTTTATTTTTACTTTATTCTGAATCATTAGAAACATCAAACGTTTTTCTAGCGTACTCGAAGGGATAAAACTTAGAATTAATAAATTAGAGGAAAAGGTTTGCATTTCGAAATTTAAAACTTTCTTTGACCTGGTATTGCTATATCTGACTCGTTTTTATCAGTTTTTTCGGTAGATACTTCTGCTTCTCCTGAATGGTGATTTGAATTTTTATTTATTTCATAATTTTCATGTTTTTTTCGTATCAGTAATAATGCATTTGGATTTTTTTATTTTATATTTCAAATTCAAAATCTTGATTGCTACAATTTTTAAGAATTGAAAATTTTTTCCAATAAAATGTAAAAAATAAATTGGGAAAGTTCAACGGAAAAAATATTTAAAAATGGGACTTTTGTGCAGATAATTTCCGTTACACTTCGTTGTATTGCAGCAACAATACTGTAACTGTCGATGAGGAAATCGAGATTTATTGATTGCTGCGGGACATTTCTTGAACATATTGTTGTGACAGTTTATGCTATCCATCCATCTTCCGTGCTGCAAATACATTTTTTTTGTGAAATTCAGTCTTTTTACTTCTTAAAATCACTTCGAAAGTACACTGATTCAAGTTTTTATAAACTTCGAAGTTTTTAGCATTTTTTTTTAACTTCCCCTGTCCTTCTCTATTTTTGCAGTTGAAATTTTCTTGTGTGTTAGGAAAGAAAATGCAATGAACATATACACCTCGAACTGTTTTCGTTACTGTCCGGAAATTATTCATCAATTTTTAGTTTCAAAAATGAATTGGGTTCAGGTAAAATTACTAACAGACTAACCATACCTGACCAGTGACGGTACAGCCATATAGTATGGTATCGGTATCATTAAATTCTACAGTGTAGCACATTGATATGCTGTTCCTTTCACTGGCACATTTTTCAAGCAACAAAGGTTGAGCATTTATCACACATTTTAAATGGTCAATTTTGCTATCACTCTCATTTTCTTGTTTACTGCAGATAAGTTGCAAAATCCAAAAATGTTACTTAAAATTGAAAAATTTTAATCTCTTCTCTCTTACCAAGTTTGGAACAACAAATATCTTGATTAAAATAATAATTTGAATTAAATGGTTTCTCAAATTGATTAACGTTTACGCTGGCCAGCTTTATAATACTAACCAGAGGCAAGTGTTTGATGCTAAATTTTAAATTCAAAAATATCAAAACGATAAATTAATAATTAAAAATATTTCCAAATGCAAAACAACATAACAGCAACAATTATCGTATTTTTCTGCTATGAAATTTAAAGTTCTAATTAAACTGACTCACATGAGAAAACATTCAGCAGTGAATAACCATGGTGACAATAAAATCAACCACATAGGACGTTTCAAGTAACAAAAAGTAAAATTTCACTTTTTATGTGTCCATTTATAATTGTGAAAGTTATCCGCATAATTCACAAATGATTGAATGCTTGATGAAATTATATGATTTCAATTTTTTAAATACTTTCACAACAGCTTATCTGAAACTCACAGCGGCGCTACGACGAATTCGCGAGTTTTTGTGGAAATTCTTTGCATGCACTAAGCTCTTAGACGTCCATCGTTAGCTAAAACATCACAGATTCGTAATCCCAAGGGGTCGCAATTTCCAGTAACGCTATTTTCAGTAACTACAATACGAATGTCACTGCAGACATGTGTCAGGGTGGATGATCGACTGACTATTGCGAGATCAGAGTATTACTAGTCACCGCACTCTTTTAATGCCTATTTTGTTAATGTTATTGTTTGAAGTCTTTTCAAAACGAAAGAATTTATTTCAACATTAGAAAACTGCCAAAAAAATATGGGCAAAAATGGAGTAAAACTGAAAATGATTAAAAACACATATTAAAAATTGACATTGTATTAAGAAACTACAACTAACGCGTTACTGTTAAGTTATTTAATACATTAAAAAAGCTGTACAAACTATTTTTAATCAATTTTGCTAGTATTATTATATATTTGCACTTCGGAAATATCCATAAAAACCTAAATTAATTCTATGCAAATAATTTACGAAACTCCAGCAAGGAATTAAATAACCCAGATAGAGTTGACAAGGAGGTGAATCATCTCAGCCTCTTGCATTTTTTTGATATCTTTCTCCAGTGATAAACCTTAAGTTTCTTTTTAAAAAACTTTTTAGCATCACATTTCCTATGGGGATGTGAATATTAAAAAGTCCAAAGTAAAAAAAGGGATATGGCACTAGAAATGTCCAGAAAAAGGTAGAAAAAATTGCCGAATAAATTTAAATTCTAAAAAAACTATCAACAGTGGCAGAATTCTACTTTGGTACATCACTGCTGATATTGCACGTTCGAAAATTTACTACAGCTTTAATCTAAACATTAAAATCTTAAATGCACTGCTTGCAAACCCTTGACATTTTTGCTAATGCAATTTGTATATTAGTTGTTCCAAAAACTTCGAATCTCCCGAGTAATTAACAGGGATAAAAGAAATGCCAGTAAGACCCGCAAACAGCACATCGGTATGCAAATAAAGAAACCGGATAACCATACAAACAAATAACAGTAAAGAACATGAAGTAAAAAATGAGTTAAAGTATCAGATTTATATTAAAAGAGAAGTGAGATATGTGCACGAAATTATCTGATATGTATTTCGTGTAACAATGAGACCAAAACGATTTCTTGAACTTATATCGCAACTAAAAAAGTTTTAAAAATACATTTAAACAGAGAACATTTGAAAACAATTCAGGTAGTATTTGAATTAATATTAAACGAACATAGCAATTAGAACTGTTCACCACAGATCTATTAGTCAACATAATTAAAAAAAGATCGAAACCACTTGCTATACACTAAGAACTTTCCTGAATTGATGATTACATTGTTACCTGAGATTATGAATTTATAATGTAATAAATAACATCAAAACAGTTCTGTTAATGAACAGATAAAATAATTAAGAACCGTAATTTATATAGTGTATTACTAGCTCTAATGAGTTCATCAGATCGCTTGATTGACCAATACGTGTCATTTTGTCCTTTTTCTCTTTCACTGAAATCTTCATCCTCTCTACAGTAGACGAAGAGAAATGAAAACCAAGATGACATAATTATTCAGAATGCTTATAATTTTATTTTTAATCTTCGAAAATGTAGCTGCACGAAGCTACTTCCGCACGTTCCAAAAAAAACCATTCGAGGCCACAGAACAGATTTTGTGGCTAGTACAAAAACATTGATCTTTTCAGCTATTGCAAAGAAAATGATTCTATATTTCCAGCTTCTTGCAACAGAATCTTATGAATCGAATAGTATCCTTCAGTGGAATGCTGAAAACTCGCTGGTCGGTTGTCTTTACACTATCCATTTATTTCATAGGTGCAAAATGGGTGATATCTGCAGGGGTGCTGGTACTAATTCCACATTTACTCGTACCATTTCTTGCACCGTGTTTCGAACTGGTAAATGTGCGACCATTTCATCAAAAACAACACCTATTGCCGTTGTTGCACCATTTGTTGAGGAAGATGGTTCAGATGTTTGCTCTCTCACCAAAAATGTTTGAACTGTATAAGGTTTCTTATTTGTAGACGGTTGTCCATGTCCTTCTGGCATTGTATCCGAATCTGGCGAGTTTGGCTAAAAATATGAGGTCGATTTTTTGGTTTCAAAATATAATAGTAAGATATTCAATTGCACAAATTTCTATTGCCTATTTCCAGAAATTTATGACCAACTTTCAAAAATTATTATAATCAAAGCTTTAGATACTTCAACAGTTGACCCACCGTATGAGTATTTCGTTCTTGCTCCTTCCGGTTACTGCCATTTTCTACATTCAAAATAATTTTCCTATCCCTCACTCCAATCAATTTATTGACGTCTTGGTTTCTTCCATTTTCTGTTGCACCATTCATTACCGTTCCTTTCGATCCCGTTTTATTATTTGTTTTGCTTCCAATGTGACACAGGAGATGTTTTTCGCAATCACTTCGTGACCAAAAGCGATATTTGCAGCCTTCGAACAAGCAAATATAACGCTTCTTCCACAATTTACCTGATATTTATTAGCTCTAGCAACATGAGTACAATCTAAACTATTTGCCTTTACAGAAAGGAATTAAGAATTAAAGTTTACTTAAAATCAATTAGGACGAAATTAAATCTAAAAAAACACGTGCACCAGGCAGTGTTTTAGCATATTTCACTGATATGGGTAAGTGTTACTTATCATATAGCAAATAGGAAAGCCATAAGAACAGTAAAATCTAGTAAGTTAAAAACTGCAACTTATAACCAATAACATCAGCTTATCCAGAATAACTAATAGATGAAATGCACACATGTCCCAAAATTAATCTAGATGGTAACCGCTTCATCATCGTAAGCAACCTCATAAAATTAAAATTTTTAGTTTTTTCACGATCCTCTTTCAATATTTCACTTGAGACTTGAGATAAAACTAATGTAAAGGCTATACAACAATAACTTACGAGACGAAACAATACTACGAGATTTACTCTTTCCATTATTCGGTGAAAACTTCAGTCTCCACTGATGTACAATAGAAACGTGCTTGCTCAATATGATAGGATCTCGATATTGTCTCGAACACCATGGTATCGGACAATCACAAAATCTTTGCTAAAATTGTTTTCCACATATTATGTGACTTTTCTTAGAAAACAAGATACAATTAATAATACTATTGGATGAGATTTCCAAAGAAAGGAAAAAATCATTGTGAATAACTTCGATTTATTGCTAAATCTTAACTATGAACGTTTCAATATTTGATTCTATAATATCGAATTGCTTAAATCTTTAACATGATTGACAGCTCAGCATTACAAAACTTACAATGCCAATCTCCTGCTGATTAAACAATCAATGCATTATTAGTTTTTATCATACAAAACTCCAGTTCTTGAATTTTTTATGATAAGAACTAATAATATTCGTTAAAAAAATGCAATAACGGAATATTTCAAAGAGTACAGATTCCACTGCCGCAAAAGAAATTATGTCCTCATCGTTGGACATTTATTCTAGATTTTTAAAATTTACCGAAAATTGGCTAAAATACTGCACGATAATGATGTGCAAAAATTGTACTCAAGTATTATATAGCAAAATAAAATACATCTTCCTGAGCTATTTGATGTTCATCGTCTCCCAACATTTCGTCCTCTTTCATGTCTTCTGTGCTTCTATTTGTAGATTTTCCCTCCGAATCAATCCATGAATCTGCCATACTAGAGGATTGAAAATTGTATCGCATACATGATGGCTCCACATTATGAGTTGATACTGCAGGAGAGCCTGTCTCTTCTTAAGAAAACAAAAACAATCATACAAATAAATCGTTTTCTAACAAATCATTTATGGAAGCTATACAAACTTTATTTCTCTGACAAAAGTAAGTGATCTCTTGTTTAGGAAGCATTTTTTCCTCTCAATTTAACATTTTAAAGAAAAATCACTGGAAATATTCCAAACCATTCATTAATTCAGGAATCACAACGAGAACAATTAAAATTACACATACATTTTCGCCATTTGTATATCATTCAGTAAATAACAAACCTGAAGTACGAATAACCAATGGATGATTATGGATCATATGTAGCTGAAATTGAATTTGATCGCTGAATACCTCTGCACAATGCATGCAAGTGAACTCACCGCGTTCTACTGTTATTTGCTCCTGCAAGTATGCTATAAGAGACCAGCACTTTGTCTAGTTTTGACCTCATAAGCATCCTCAAAATGAGCGCATTTGACCCTGATTTAGAAAAAACGCTGTGGGAAAAACACTGCCGATTTATTTATTATTGACCAGCATGGCACGTACATCACTACAAATACAACTAAAATGGTAATCCACGACCGCGGATGAGCCATTTCGCAGTATAAAACCGGTCGAAGTTTTATAAGTTTTCATTCGCTCCGTCGCAAAGAACAAAGAACCATTAATTGAATATTAATTACCCAAAAATAAAAGGAAGCGTTTTTACCTTTAAAAAAGCCTCCAGTGACTCCAAGTTCATTTCCATTCCATGTTTCTCGCTGATATGTTTTTGCATTGCTACCACACCAACAACTAGCATGTCACAGAGTGGACATCGCAGTTGACTAAAAGATATGCATATTTTCAAAAACTAGCTACCTGTTCTTTTCCTGAGTGTAATATTCTTATGGCAAAATTATGAAACCACTCCAGAAGAATTTAAAAAAACGTATCACAAAACTCTAACCATTCGAATTCATTTTGCTCTTGACAAAATATACAATTCCTGAAGCTTACCCGACTAAATTCGTCTGAAGAGCAAATGCTCTTTCAAATGCAATTTTCAGATCTTCTAAAAAGCGAGCCGAGTAACGTTGCATTTTTGGCACTAATTTGTATCAAGTGAAATCAGCGAGAAACAAACTAATACGGAATAATTCGAAGCATATGAATACTTTAAACAAATAGGAAAGAGCACAGGCAATAGCAGTAGCAAAGAGTAGCTCAAAGGGGTAATCGGAACGAAAAATGGGAATCTCTTTCTGCAAAATTTCCCAGAAAAAAGAACGGGACGTCTTCCTCTCTCACTCCACTACACACTATACAGGCACCGCAACAGCAACAACGCATGCCACATTCGCTTCACGACCGCCTCAATCGATTTTACTGGCAAATGTACTTCGTCTGCTCTCTTCAATTGATGATTGTTGAAGAAAATTCAGCATTTTAAAAATGTATTCAGAAGGGGAAAGCATATTTCCCTTCCCTCCTTTTCCAGTACAAGGCACTACTTCTACAGGAGTATTATTTCAGTCTACACAAATAACACGAGAAATCCCAGTTATCATTATCCCGAACGTGTCGGTTTCTCAAATCATCTGGAAAGAAAAATTAACTTATGCGGCATCATGGAACAACTAACTATCCCACTTTCTCACACACACGAAATTTTAAACTGATGGGAAAAAAATTACTCAGTATTATTTCCAGTTTGATCTGTAATTTTGAGTGCTTGACCGAGAGTCGATGTACTGGTGATACTTGAGGTAGAACTGAGAGATCCGCGATGACCACGTGATGTAGGCAGTGACACAACATTATGAACTTCCTGCTTGTGTTGCTTCAAAGATTCACGAGTCTGTCCTACATTTGTGTTACAAATATCACAGCTGAAAGAAAAGCAACAAATCCGACTTTTCTAATCGCATGTTTTGTCCAAAATTTAAAGAATTTCACGCTTCTCACTTTCTTAAAAAGTAATAAATTACTTCCAGCCTTTTAGTTACTCCCATAAAATCCGGTAATTAGAAAATTAATATACCAGTCATCATTAGTTACTGAACTTCACTTATAATAAATACCGGAAAGCAATCGTGCCAGACTTCTCCTTCTCTAAAGTATCGATATTTGCAATGATTGTTTTATGCTCATCAATGACAATGCCGTGCATTTTGAGCATATGTGTTCGAAGGAAATATTTGTTACATACTTCCTTGTTGCAAACATCGCAGTAATTTTTGCCAGTTGTTGTATACTGTTTTTTCGGTTGTCGAGACTGAAACAAAAAAAAAAAATGTTGTTTTTTTCAATGAATATAAATGTTCAAGAGTTCGAGGAATAAAAAACCAGAAATATTAGATTTATATTTTATCTACTAAATTTTAAATGACAAATCATAAATAAAGACATACAACACTGATGGGAGACGTAACCATTCCTGGCGCAACCGTTGAATTACGAGGTCGATCTCCATCATTACCCTGACTACTCTGCTGTTTCTGTGATTGCTGTTGTTGCTGCAGCTGACTCAATGGAGATAGTAAATTAAATGAACTAAGAAAACTACTTAAGATATTATGTTGCAATAACAGATGATGTTGAAGAGTCGCTCGACTCTCGCACTCCTGTCCACACATCTCGCATGCTTCTTTACTGGCTGATGAATGTTTTGATGGTGATCTGAAAAGAAATTTTGATTCCTACAGAACTTTATTATAAAAAGTAAAGCATTAGAAAAATGCATAAAATAGTCTTCGTAAATGCCATACAAAATCAGCAATAATAGCTCACGATTGTTGTTGCACTTGTATACCCTCAGCTTTAAATGATGATAGCAATTCTTGCGCAATTGCATTTTCCTGAGCCTGACGAGCGATCATAGCAAATAAATCACCCGTGTTTGGCAATTGACTTGCAACATTTGCAAGTGTTTCTTCATCAATCCTAACACTCTCCGGCCTATAAATTACATTAATTACAATTACTCTATCAAACGAATTATAAGTAAAGATAAAATGAATACGGATATTTGGATAAAAAAACAACCTACCTGGCTGCACCGATTAATTCATCATCGTCTTTACTTCCTTCATCAGTCGTTCTCGCTCGTTTTGCTGGTGATGAATCTGCGCTAGACAAACAATTGACAATAACAGAGGTCGGTTGAGATGAAGTGATTTTTGAAGGAGATATCTGTGAAGCTTCCAATACATTCTGATTGCAAAGTGCGGCAATAAACTCAGCTGGACTAAGATTTATCCCCGTCGAGGTAGTTGGTAAATCCAAAGAAAGATTTTGTGAAGCCGTTGCTAAAAAATCAAATTAGATAATAAATTAAAATAAAAAACCCGAAACGATCCATATTTTTGATGAATAAGATGACCCAATCCTCAATTCAACAGATACCAAAGGCATCTCTGCTACCGAACTGCTTTCCGCTTATGCAAAATTCAATTAGGTATATCCAATTTATCGCACACTGAGCAATTAAAATGCACCAATTTGCAGTTTTAAGTACAAGACTAACTAACGTGACGCTAGTGATGTTACATTGCCTTCAGATGGCGAATTTTTGCCCGGAAATGGAATGCCATGTTTTTTCCACTTATGTGTTCGAAGAAAGTAGCGATTGCAAAAATTCTTGTCACATATCTCGCAATAGGTATCCTGGAAAGTTGAAGAACAGGGTTCCTTTGGAGTGTCACTTAGAAGCTCAAATATCGCACAAAAGGACTTTCAATTGGGGACAAGTAACCTTGCATTTTTGTTTTAATTAGAAAGCAGTACGGATTTACCTTCGAATGACCAGCACTATTAGCAAATGGTGAATTGAGGATTGAGCCTGGGCTGCAATTTGCTGATGGAACCGTACCCGCAGAACCATTGTTACTGCCAAGCGCTGCTAGAACTCGAAGAGAATCTTCAACTGTTCCAGGCGAGAAATACTGATTCATCAATTGCATCTGCTCAAGCATCGGTGGCATTCGTTGTGTTAGAGCAGCCATGTTTCTGGAATTCCAACACATTGTAAAAATATGCATGAAATACCACCCATTAATTTTTCGAAAGCTTACAGGGCAGAGACATTATTTGGCAATCCTGGGAAAAAATCAGAGATCCATTTTGAAAGATCAAGTTGCTGTAACTCCGATGCTGATGAAGGCTGCAAGTTCTCATTTTCCGCCAGAGTCATATCTTCAGTATTCACTTTCGTTGAGCTGAAATTAATCGAATTCAAGTTGAAATTCTCATCTTTTAATCAAAAGTCTCAATCTACTCATATCATAATGCAACAGAAACTGGGTAAGTTCAAAACCTTAGCGCAGCGTTATCTACAGAATTCTGCTCGTTTGATGAATCCATTTCTCGTTCCGCAACACCAAATGGCCTGGGTGATAATGGCGACTCAGCGCCACACGACGAAGTGGCTACTTCGGATGAAATCGATGTTGCCGTTTCTGCTTTATTATTCTCAACAGTGGCTTCCTCTTGTGGTTCATTTGTGGTGCTACCATTGCTACCATTCTGACCCTGATTTAAAACTGCTGCTGCCGCTAACTGGCTTAGATACATTGCTCCCAAATTCTAAAATAAAGATTTCTACTAAGCTTGCTGTAGAAAAATATTCCTAATTTCAAATAAGTTCCACCGTCGAAATATCGAAACACACCGATTCGGGAGGTCGGAATAATGGCATGTCCAATTGCGCATTGGCAAAAACTGATGGCAAAAAATTGTAAGGTGAAGGTAGCATAGATGCAGATTGCATGAGCTGATGGTGATGTTTTGCGCTTCCATTACCGCCACCCAAACTCGATGGCATCATCATATGACACTTCTACTCTGCAACTTTCCCATAAAATCTACAACTTTCAAAAATGGAATAGCAAATAAGCATCTTCAATTTTTTCGTTTTTCTAAAAACTACAATGGAAAAGGGATTACGCAATTCGTAAATAATATGGGATGAACTATGAGTAGAAAAATATTGTGATGTGGGTTTCGTGTTATGAGCGGGATTTTTCTCGATTTAAACAATGAGAAAAAAGTGCATGAGATAGTTCGTGAATTAGAATCCAAAATATGAACACCTCTTCAATGTATTAATAATAACAATCAAAATACCATTCTTATCACTTGGCAAGAGTTTCTCCTCTCCCTCAACTGTTCCGCGTAGATAACAAAGACAGCTATATCCTTACTTCTATAATTAAATTACTAACTCTAAATTATTTCAGAATATACATCGTTTGAAATTATGAAAAGTTTTAAGTTAACATCCTTCCTTGACCTTTTCATATTTATGGCTGACAGTCTTATTCAGTTTATCATTCTTTGAAATACAAACCGATATATTTGCGCTTATCAATCAATCAAGCAGCTTCACTGTTTATGTATAACATAATATGGACATATGAAATATAGAATTGAGTTAAATTTCGGGATTTTCTCTCTGAAAGGAAAGGAGAGGGCAGGAAGAGGGAAGTGAGTGAGGAAAAATTCTGCTTGATCGGAACTAAAAAATGATTTTCGAAAAAGAGAAAAGCAAAAAATGCAAATGACAAATGAACAGTGTAATATGGAAATGATCAGTATAACAGGGAGTATACCCTGGAAATAGGAGGAAAGGAACGGACAGGACGGGGGAACGGGCTGAGGAAGAGCAGTAATGACAGCGACTTTGCTTGCTAGCAGACATAATAATCACTGGCGAGGATTTCCTCAAATTCCTTCAGGAGAAAAATGCGGGAATATTTCATTCAAAACACCAACATGTAGACAGACAGAGAGACACACACACACACACACAGAAATACGTGCATTTTCACAATTAGTAGAAGCAGCAGTACCATTCGTCGTGCCATGACCGCCTACCGCCTACCTATCCTTTCAGCCATAATGGTCAGTGAGTAGGGATAAATATGATGTTACTGTAACTTGTGCGGTGATCCCGGGGAAGGAAGAGAAGGGAAGGGAAGGCAGGAGCTTTCTTCTCAGCTCAACATCCATCCCTCTCTAATTACGTGCGTATCTCACTTAAAACTTAATCGCAACACAATCATACCATTTATGCACGTACACATCCATTCTATTTATTGCACGCATATCTCAGAAAAGGCGCGCTTGTCAATTGTCTGTCTGTCTGTCTGTGAGTGCGAGTGTGTGAGTGAGTGGGTGGATAGGTCAGGAATGGAATGGGTTGTGGTGACAGTGGGAGGCTAATAGAGGTGAAACGAGTGAGCAATGAGGGAATGTGGGAAATGTTTGATTCGAATATCAGTAGACTGAAAGTGAAAATGGAATTCATGGTTATGATAATAAGGATGGGGAAATATTACATTGTAAGCAATATGGGAAGGAAGTTGAGAGAGTCAGTAAGATGCGCCTCATAAGGTGACAATAAAAATGGAATTTATCAATTTTTTAGTTTGCTTCAGATGTACTCTAAGGATTGCCGCCTCTCAAATAGTTGAAAATGTAATGCAAAATTGATATGAATTTAGAATAATCATTTTAACAACTGTTCAATTATTATTCATATCATGACCATAAAAGGAATTGAGACACGCAGGTGCAGAGTTAAGCAATGGATGAAATAAGACATAAAGATTTCAGACAAATCAAATTCAGACATTTTCCTATAAACCAACTGATATGAAAATGTTACGTTGACCAATTCAAAAAGGTCATTGCAGTGGTCATTGTGGTTCCAGTGGATGACCATCAAGCTAGTTAATTATAGTAATAAGCTATGTTATTGAGCGTAAAATGTACAAAAAATGACTGAAATATTAAACTTAAAAATAGAATGATAAGAGAAGCTAATTAAAAGACTCTTTTTTGATTTGAAAGAAATAACTTTAAATTGAGAGAAAAGTGCACAATCATTATAGATATCGCAGTAATAAAATAACAAAGAGAAGTTGCATCGTTTGGTTTGAAAAGAGAATGTGATTTAAAATGATTTGGATGTAATGGTAGGGCTCAAAGTTCATTGTGTGTGTTTTTTGAAGTTTTCAGTATAAATTCAAATTGCAATATTTACCTCAGAAATCCTAGAAGAATGCTCGATTATTGTTGATTCCTGACACAACCCTGAAAAGAAATGACAAAATTTAACAAATTTGTCGAATGAATTCGGAATATTAATGAAGATTAACGGCGGCGACGATACGGGGCACAGGGTACAGAATCATTAATTCAGTGTACACTGCTCGATTTATGGTTGAAAATGGGAATGAAAACGATTTGAATATGACGATAGGACTGAAATTAATTTAAAAAAAAGGTGTTGGCAACAAATGGTAGTGCTGCTTATGTATGCACGCCCGTACGTGTGGTGCTTATTGCCCTGTCTTCTTTCCTTTTTCTCCACTATTACTCTTCCGGAATTACAAAAATTTCTTTAAAATTACTGCTTCAAAAAAAAGAAAAAAAATTTCAAAGTGAAGGTTAAAAATTAATAATATGTGCAAATCTCATGCAAAGCACATGAAATTTATTCCATCTTTTAAAGTTAGTAATAGAATTAATCTAGTATAAAATAAAAAGTTAAAATGCAAATATTTATTATTAGAAAACGTAAAAAGTTTTTTTTTCGATGATAAACACAGTATTACTTTTGTAAGAATGGCAAGTAAACAGCGAAAATCCATCGTTACTTCCGTTAAACTTTTAAAACTTTCTTTTTTTTTTTTAAAATTACCGATTTGCAAATGAAAATTACATCATCTCATATCAAAAAAAAGTGGTGATGATCTCGGGAATACCGCGAAAATTTCGTGATACACGGTTGCGTCAGCACGCAAGCATGCATCATTTTATCCCTGCAACTTGAAAATCGCTGATTCTTTTCGATCATGACGATTTTTTTTGTTTCTGAAATTGGTAATCAAAAAAAATATGCGAGGAAGCCCTATCTCTCTATTCGCTTCTTATAAAAATAAATAATGAGCAAAATTTTCATTTTGCTTTTTGAATCAAAACACTTTTTAGATCATTCAAAAAAAAAGTTTTCTCTGACCACATATTTTCGGTAACATTTTCAAAGCCGATACTTTTTAAGAATAATTTCAACTTTGAATTATGAATTTTTGGAATTCAAACTTTAAATAAATTAATAGATGGATGGGATGGATGCCACTTGAAGTTTGTATTTATAATTTTTGCGAAATTGATCAATTTAACTAAATCAATGAATGAATTGGAAAAATTCCAATTGTCTACTTTTCGTATATGTTACAGATAACACTAAAAAGCAATAAATGAGGACCATTAATACAGTGAAAAATTTGTGAAAAGAAAAAGCTGCATTATAGGATTGATATTATCAGTAAATTAAAATTCCACCTAACAAAAATTACCAGAAAAGGAATTGAACACACTTCAACAAAGCTGGCAATAAAGATTGTAACGGTTAATGGACAACGATGAAATAAGACATCAATACGTCGCCGTATATGGAATAGAAAAACATTTCCCGCGGTAGATCACTTACAGACAATATATGATGTTATAAGAAAATCTGCTCATCTTTAAGAATATCTTGTTTGAAATGTAAACAAGAAAAAAAGGATATTGGAATATTGAAAAGAATTGTTGAGCAATTTAAATGGTAAGTTTGATTTTTGATCATTTATTCATATAAATATTGTGTAATAATTATACAAAATTAGCTAATGAAATGTAGTTTCATCAAAATATGATTTGCATTTAGAATGATTTAATGTGTAATTTATTGATGGAAAGTTTATTTAATATCAATCTTTTTAATTAATTTGAAATAATTCCTTACCTAATATTACTTTCATATTACACTTTTAAGGCATTCATAGATGTCAGATTTGAAGGATTCTAGAGGAAAACAAGAATGATCATTCGGTGAGAGAAAGAAATATAATATAATTAATTAAAATGGCAGTTGGAAATTATCTTGCACTTTGTACTTTTTGAATTCCACCATTAAATTCTTAAATCTTCAATCCAAAATGTGAAAATAAGAAGTCAAAAAATAAAATTGAAATCACAGTTTTTTTTTCAAATCGCTGAAAGACTTTGTTCAAAATTTCGAATAAATGAAATGGAAATGTAGATTGTTAATTAGTTTCAGGACGAGTTGAAGAATTAACAATTTTCAAAAAAGTTGTGTCGTACGTTGCTGCTGGAAAAGCTTCTTTCTGAATGCTCGAAATATACATAACATAAAGAAATGACGGTATGAGAACACTCGGAATGTGCGGTGAGCGGGGTATGGAAAAGAGTATCAATAAAAAAATGATATTTCTTCTGACATACAAACACAAACATACATGCATGCACATACATACATGCATACATACAGTCGTTCAGCAATGTAAATAAATTAAAATTTTGATCAAACAGTTGAATGAAACAGCTCTTGGAATGTAAGTTGATATGGAATATTTCGACTCAGTCACTACTTCCATTTACATCTTTTTCAAATTTGGAAAAACTTTAACTGACAATATTATTGTAATAGTGCAGCGAATTTTTTTAAATTGAAAACTGTGTGCATTCAAACTTTAATCTAATATTTCATCGCTAATTTACATTTTTTTTTCATTCGTTTTGTCTAAAGTCTAAAAAGTTCATTTTTTTGGAGGAGATAGATCAGAAGAAAAAGTTACTTTTTTGAAATAGAATCATAATAATTGATTTGAAAGGGTTTCGAATATCGGGACAGACTTTGAATGAAACAAAAATGAGAAGCAAAAATTGCTGCTGTAAGCTATCCGGAAGTAAACAATTCAAGAAAAAATTTAATGACTTCATTATCAATAGAAATATTTGAATTCAGGAAAAAAA